AATCCATCTTGTTGGAGGTCTTCCTCTTTTTCACTCACCCTCCACTTTTCCAGGCATGATGTCCTTATCCAGGGACAGGTCTCTTCTGATAGTATGTCCAAATTACAAGAAATGAAATCTTAACATCCTCGCTTCTAAGGAACATTCTAGCTGTACTTCTTACAAGACATGTTTGTTTTTCTGGCAGTTCATGGTATTTTCAATATTCTTTGCCAACCCCATAGTTCAACTTTCATATACACATGTTATTGCAAAGTGCCCTTGGGTCGGTTTCAACTCACATGACCCTGTATGGGATTTCCAAGAAATAGCTGGTGGGTTTGAATGGCCAACCTTGAAGATAACAGTCCAGTGATTATCCTACAGTGCCACACCAGACTCCACATACAATAACAACAGGTCATTGAAAATATCATGGCTTGGTCAGGTGCACTTTAGAGCTCAAATCTTTGTTCTTGAACACTTTAAAGAGGTCTTTTGCAGTAGATTTGTTAATGCAATATATCATTTAATCTCTTGACTGCTGCTTCCATTAGTGTTGACTGTCAATCAAAACAAAATGAAGTTTTTGACAACTTCAATCGTTTCTCCATTTATCATGATGTTATTTATTGGTCCAGTTGTGACGATTTCTGTTTTCTTTACATTGAGGTACAATTCATACGGATGTCTGTAGTCTTTTAACTTAATCAATAAGTATTTTATGTCCTCATCACTTTCAGCAAGCAAAGTTGAATCATGTGCATGTCTCATGTTGTTAATAAATTTTCCTCCAATCCTGATGCTGCATTCTTCGTCATATAACCCAAATTCAGAGATTATTTGCTTAGCATGCAGACTGAGTAAGTGTGGTGAAAAGATATAATCCTGATGCACACCTTTCCTCATTTTAAATCATTCAGTATCCCCTTGTTCTGTTCTAATGAATGCATCTTGGTCTACATACAGGTTCCTCACAAGCAAAATTAAGTGTTCTGGAAAACCCATTCTTCACAATGGTATTCATAGTTTGCTATTATCCACACAGTCGAAAGTATGTGCATCATCAATAAAGCACAAGCAAATATCTTTCTGGTATTATCGGCTTTCAGTCAACGTCCATCAGGTATCAGTAATCACTAGTTCCACATCCTCTTCTGACTCCAGCTAGAATTTCTGGCAGTTCCCTGTCAATGTACTGTTGCAATCATTTTTAAATTATCTTCAGCAAAACTATACTTGCAAGTGATACTAATTATATTGTTTAATGATTTTTACATTCTGTTGGGTCACCTATCTTCGGGACAGGCACAAATTAACCAGGTAGTTATCTTCTGAGTGAATGTCTCAAATACTTATCAGTTTGTTGAAAGATTTCAGTGAGTATTCCATCAATTCCTGGAGCCTTGTTCTTTGCCAATTCCTTCAGTGCATCTTGGAATTTTTCCTTCTATTGGCTCTTAGTCATCTGCTACCTCTTAAAATCATTAAACATTGAACTCTTTTATTCCATCTTTTTGATGCTTACTACATTATTCAATATTTTGCCCATGTTGTTGTTAAGTGCATCGAGTCAGTTCCACCTCATGGTGACCCCATATATAGTTTCCAAGGAGAAGCTGGTGGGTTTGAGCCACCTTGCATTAGCAGTCCAGTTCTTATCCTACAGTATTGTGGTTAAGCACCATTAAGTTGATTCCAACTTATTATTGTTGTTGTTGTTGTTGTTAAGTGCCAACTTATTATAGTGACCCTATATATGGTTCCCAAGGCAAGGCTAGTGGACTTGAACCACAGACCTTGCTGTTCAAATTGCCCTTGTAGTCTGCTTCTTATCCTACAGTGCCATGCCAGGAATCTTACAGTGGAATCCTTCAATATTGCTAATCGAGGATTGGATCTTTAATTTAGTTCTTTTAGCTTGAGAAAAACTGAGCATGTTTTTCCCCTTTGGTTTTCTATCTCCAGGACTTCACACATTTCATTAAAAGACTTGAATTTGTCTTTTCGAGCTGTCCCTTAAAATTTTCTGTTCAGCTTTTTACTTCCTCATTTTTTCCAAATGCTGTATCTTCTCTATGCTCAAAAGCACGTTTCAGAGTGTCTTCTGACATCCATTTTGGTATTGTCTTTCTTTGTTGTCTTTTTAATAACCTTTTTCTATATGATGTTTTTGATGTTATCCTAAAACTCTTCTGGTTTTCTGTCATTAGTGTTTAATGCATCAAATCTGTTCTTGAGATGGTTTCTATCAGGTGGGATATATTCAGTGTCATATTTTGGCTCTCATGGATTTGTTTTAATTTTCTTAAGCTTTAGACTGAACTTATATATGCGCAATTGATGGTCTGTTCTTATGACCATTCTGTTATTTAACATTCTTTATGTTTTTGTGTGATGAATCTTAACAAAAAGTATTTGTTTTCATTATTTTACTACTTGAGCTAAGGTTTATTTAACCTTGTATATAATTAGTGCAGCTATCATTTTTAAGTTTTCCTTATAAAACCTTTCATTAGCATTACTTTTATATCCCAATGTCAACAAGAGTAGCTGATCTTGTTTGGATTTTCAGCAGCATCATGAACACATCTGTACTTTCTAGTAAATCTGTATCATTGGTCCTACTTAGATGAAAAGTGACTTTGCTTGGAACACTGCCTGTATAATTCATTTCCCTTGATGTAAGGACCACTTCAAACTCCTAGGATTTATCAGCTTGCCTTTGGATTCCTAATAAAATCACCTTTAGTCCTGGTGTATTGCTGTGAGCTAATGCACTGGACTGAAAAGTCAGTTTGAACCACAACTCAGTGGTTCAAGCTAACTAGCCTTGCCTAGAAAATGGATCACTATGGGTCAGAACTGACTCAATGGCATTTAATAACAACAACCATGTAAAGTGGAGTCCTAATGTGGTGCTGCAGGATAATGCACTAGACAGCAAAGTCAATTTGAACTGCAAGGTCTCAGCGATTCAAACCCCACAACCACTCCTTGGAAACTCCTATGCAGGGCCTAGGGCTATGAGTCAGAAACAACTTGATGGAACTGAAACATCACACCACCATGTAAAATATCCAAGGCCTACTAATTAACAATTAAAATGCCGTCTCTTCCAGAATAATAGCGTCCAAATCTGGCACTTCTTTTCTACTTGTTCAGTACTAACAATGTCTACCCAAGTAGTCTAGTGTTGTAACAATCAAAATAAGAATATTGACAAAGAACACAGAAAGAGAGGAATTAAAAGCAAATACACCTTGTAACACTCATTGCTATTGAGTGGATTCTGGCTCACAGCAATTATTATAGAAGAAAGAACTGCCCCATAGAGTTTCCAAACTTTATGGAAGTAACCTGCCACATCTTACCCCCCTGGAACAGCTGATGGGTTCAAACCACTGATGTTTTGGTTAGTAGCTGTAATAGTTAGGGTTTTGTGTCAACTTGACTAAGCCACAATTTCCAGAGGTTTGCCAGTTGGTATGTGCTTATTCCCATGATGATGGGACATTATAATAGGCATAGTTAACTCTGTGGTGAGTGGCTATAATCAGCCAATCATTTGAAGGGATGCCTACTTGGGGGTGTGGCCTGCTCTGAATATAATGGACACCCAGAAGAGACTCACTTTTTATTCTGTTAGGGACTTGGGACTCTACAGTTGTAAGCAATTTCTTTGATAAGTAACTTCCCTTTATATATTGTTGTTGTTATGTGCCGTGGAGTCGGAACCGACTCATAGCGACCCTGTACAGGGCTTCCGAGGGTGTAAATCTTTACGGGAGTAGAAAGCCTCATCTTTCTCCCATGAGTCTTTTTCACAGCCCGAGTCGTAACCACTACGCTACCAGAGCTCCATATATATATATATATATTTCACTTGTTTTGCTTCTGTAGAAAACCTGGCCTAAGACAGTTTCCTAGTGCTTTAGCCACTGCACTACCAGAGCTCCTTTCTAATTATGCATAGTTCAGTAAACCTCAGCTCAAACAATAAAATAATAAAAACAAATCCCTTTTGTTATGATTTCTCACATAAAAACATAGAAAACCTTAATAACAGAATTTTAATCAGCATACTAAAACATACTAACAAATTAGTACCAATACCTAATACAATACGGAATCCACATTTTTAATTAAAAAAATAATCTATTTCAACAGGGAATGCTCTCAAAGGAAAAAATAAGTCATCAGTTTTTAAACTGCAAAGTACATGCTCTAAAACATACAAGTATGTTTGAAGATAAGCAGATTTAGATGGTTTCAAAAGAATTAATTTTCACTCCATCAACTTCGCAGGTCATCAGCTTCACAAAGAAAACAAATCTCCCCACCCATCCAGGATCTTGCTGAGGCAAGCTGTGCAAGGGTGTAGATTCCTCCAGTGTACCAAACAAGGGAAGCTCAACACATCTGTGTATGGAGTGAGAAATTGAACTCTACAGTGACAGTTAAAGAGGGGATCAGTGACTCAGATTATACAAAAGGGGTAACACATTTTTTTTTTTTTTTTTGAAATGGTTTCCAATTCTTTGCCTTGAACAGAATTAAAAATAGACCTAATGGAACACTCACCTAATAGATCATTAGAAATGCTTCTTGATGAAAGATCATTATGAAACTTTGGGTTATAACCCAGAAAGGAGGGGAGTGATTGACTTTGCAGTCTAGGAGCAGAGGTCCCTGGAACCATCAAGAGAGAAGAGCAGACTGCGAAACCCTACCCAGAGACAGGGACAGAGACAATGACGTGGAGAGATGGAGCGGCTGGGGACTCTGGACTCAGGGAGGGAGATGGGCTGTGTGCTGACCACTGAGGGGCACGCTTGCAATGTGTACCCTTTGGTTGTTTGATGATGCATGGAGGGGATTGTAATCATGGCAATGAAACAATAAACGATAGGACGAATGTAAACCATCACATAATTCACAATAAAACATTAAAAAAAAAAAAAAAGCTGTCGGTAACTGGGGTAAACACCACCACCTCCAGGCCTACCCCACATCCCTACCTGGATAAGCACACTGCAGCAGAGCTACTGACTTGCCTCCAGGAGCAGCACACATATCCAGCACCTTCTCCCCATCCTTTAATTCCAGAGCCAGAACTGGCAGAAGGGAAGCAGCATTTAGGAGATAGTATTTTTTCAGGTTTCCCATTTGGTGTCTTTCAGACGGCATTCGGTCTGGAGTTCTGCTAAGGTAACACTTCATTGATTCAGGATAATAGGGTAAAGATCCTTGAAAGAGTATGTGATAGCCCTTCAAATGCAAATGCTTTTCCAGTTTAAAAGGATAATTGAATCGGTTAAACAGGACAGCATATTGCCAGCATGATGGGGATGTTAGTATATCCCTGGAAATGCAAGGGGAAAAAAGGAATATTAATATTATACACAGAACACAGTTTTATATACTCACTCCAAATTGAGTGAATTAAGACGTCCTGCTGGTGCAGTGGTAAATAATTGAAGGTTGGAGGTTTCAACTCACTGAGCTACTCCATTAGAGAAAGATGAGGCAAACTGTTTTTATATAATATTACAGCTTCGGGAATTGTATGGGGTATTCTACTCTGTCCTTTAGGATTGCTATGAATTGGACTCAACTGGAAGGCAATGGGAACTATGTGAATGAAGTCCTAGTTATACACACTTCTTACATGGGATTTTCACAAAGGATCAGTATTACTGATTTTCCTTTTTGCCTCAGACTGTAATACCACTCAACCTGCCTGGCACTGTTAGTGATTCTCTTTTTATTTATTATTTGAGATTTTGTTGGACAATTTGATATTTTATTTGTATGTTGTATTCATTTTTCATTAAAATACTATTTATTTGATTAGAGTTTTTTTGTTGTTGTTGTTGTTAAGTGCTGTGGAGTCATCTCCAACTCATAACAACCCTGTACAGCATTTCTGAGATTTTATATCTTTACAGGAGCAGAAAGCCTCATCTTTCTCCCATGAGTCTTTTTGGAGACCCTCTTAAATTTTATATAATTCACTCACCCTACCCTAGTCCCAACTGCTGCAGAGTATCTTGCCAACAAAAACCCAAAAAACTTGGCCTGCCTTTACATCACTCTACATCTGTCAAAATAGATTTCAGTCTACTACTCTTTACACAAGGAAATGTTTTTCTAAGAAACAAAGTTTAAAACCAGAGACTATAATATTAGGGGGAAAGCACTATCATTAAAGAATGTTTAAAGGAGTTTGCATTGAAATGTTCCTCTGCTGGAGATAAAGGGTATGGAAATTTACCTACAGGGAACTCTACAGTGACAGTTAGAGAGGGGATCAGTGACTCAGATTATGTAAAACTACAGATGATTTTTAAATCACTTGTGGATTAATGGTGGAGGCTTCCCCCCAGCACATTTGCCTTTCTAATTTTGTATTCAGTCCAACAGCTAGATATCTTGACAGTCACAAACTCCCATCAACTGACAGATGATACAGCAGGAAATATTGCATTTATTTATTAGCTGACCTTTCTAACTGAATTATTTGGGAGCCTCATTAACCATGGTCAATTAAGTGAATTCCAGCTGTTACACTGGAGTTGCCTATGTGAACAATGGCCGGATTGAAATGTAACACCTGCGACTCGAAGTGAATTACAATTTGGGGATAATTGTGTGTAAAACCGATTTCTCATTTCAGTGTATTAAAGGAGCGTGGTGTATTTGGTTTCAGCTATTCTCACAGATGGCAATGTCTTTAAGAAAGTGGCTTACCAACTTTGTTGTTGTTAAGTGCCATCGAGTCAGTTCTGACCCATAGTGACCCTGTATAGGGTTTCCGAGGAGCAGCTGGTGAGTTTGAATCACTGACCTTGCAGTTCAAATGGCTTTGCTGTTTGGAACATTAACCCACAGCGCCACACCAGGACTCCTCTTACCAACTTTGGCAAGCATCAAAAAACAAACACAGCTGCAGTGGAATAGATTCTAACTCATGGCGCCTACATGCATTGCAGAGCAGAACTGCACTCCACAAGGTTTGCAAAGATGTTACCTTTCAGTAGGATCACCAGGCCTTTCTTCCAACCTGCCTCTGGGTGGGTTTGAACCACCAACCTTTCAGTTAGTAGTTGAGCATGTAACCGTTTGCACCATACCATATTATAGTAGTTCTGGTGTGGCACTGTATTATAAGCACTGGGCTGAAAGGTCAGTTTGAACCAAAGGTAGGCAATTCAAACTCATCAATCGCTCCTCAGAAACTCTATACAAGGTCTCCATGAGTCAAACCCAACTCAAAGGCACTTAACAACAGGTTTATAAAAAAGACCACTGGGCCCCACCTCTAGAATTTCTGATTATTAGGTCTGAAGTGAGGCCAGAGAATCTGAATTTTTAACAAATTCTCAGGTGGGAGTGGTCCTGCAGATCCCCAAGACTACCCTTTGAGAATCACTGCTTTAAAAAAACAATGGACTTCTACGTGAAATCTGTGAATTCCATTATTGTAAGCTTAATGATTTTAATCTTACCTACCAAGCTGGATAAAAATCTATCCAATATTTTGAGTCTAGTAGTAACATAATTTAATTTAAATAGACTAAAGTGGCTTGGCTACATCACATGTCCACCCTTTGAAAAACAAAGAGCAGGACTCATTCAGTCGGTTAATATCTGACAAGGCAAAAGTCTATTCATTATTCTTCTTTTTCAGAATTTCCCAAGGTATTCTCAAATGTGTATTGTTTTAGTTGATTTTTAAAATCAGTTGGTCAGTTTAAAATATTGACAAAATATTTGACAAAATAAAGGGTTTCAAAAAGTTCATTGAAAACTGGAATAAAAAGACAATGGAATTTTTCCATGTACTTTTTGAAGCCCCCTCATAGACAGATGTAGATACAACCATCTTGACTATGAATATGTTAATTGTATTAATTTTGGGGGTGAATTAACATCTTTTTTATATTGCCTTTTCAATAATGACCACATTTCTTTATTTGTTCATATTTTTTTCATGTCCTTTAGTAAACGTTGTTGATTCTGCACATTTCTTCTTTGGCTTAGTGTTTAAAAATTGTTAGGTTTGAAAAATTATTGATATTTGTGTATTTTCCAATACGTTAAATCTCAAAAGATAAGAAGGAATGTCACAGAAACAAATAAAAACAGAGGTACAAGTATAGGTATGAGAAAGGACAGTGTATTCAGGGAATTAAAAGTAGTCTGGTATGACTGGTCATAAAGGATCAAGTATAATACGAAAAAGTTTTGGGATCTTATAAGTGATGGAAAGTCACTGGAAAACTTTAGGAAAAAGCACACCAGATGCAGAAGCTTATACTATGGCAAAGGAGAGACAGGAATCTATAGAAATTATTGTTGTTGTTGTTGTTAAGTGCCATACAGTCAGTTCTGACTCATAGAGATCCTGTATAGGGTTTCCAGCGAGCAGCTGGTGGGTTTGACTGTTGAACTTGTGGTTTGCAGTCCAGTGCTAATGCTGCAGCACCATACCAGTTAGAAATTATTAGATCACTTCTAACTAGGCAAAATAAGGCCTTGACTAAAAGAAAAAAGATTAAATTTCTGATCTGTCAAAGCTAAACCCAGCTCTACTGACCCTCCAGTATGTGACCTTTGTGGAACACAACTTCCTTAGGTCCCTTTGCATAGAATAATCTTTCCTGTCCCTCCCACCATAGCCTGGTTGACTCTCCAACACTCCTATCTTCAGGGACAAGTTAGGCTTCATTTCCTGAAGGAAGATTTTCCATCTACATGCAATCCACATACTGTTGAGCTCACCCTGATAACGTTAGTAATAATAATAATAATAAAAGCAATTGACTGGATGTTTACAATGTTTTTGTTTTAAAGACAATCACGTTAGATCATACCACATATATATAGTTTTTGTACCTGCTCCCAACTAGAAGACAGGCAAATATATTTCCCTAACCAATCACATTAAATGCCTACCTTCTACTTAGCCCACCTCCAGCTTTCCAACAGCCTCCAGTCGTAGCATATTTGCAAACTTACTTTCTTACTCTCTTGCCTGCCCTTAAGACTGCCAGTGCCCAGGGAAAGTGGCTGACTCCCCTGGTATAGCAAGCTCTGAATAAAGAGCATGTTTGTTCTTGTTTAGGTGTTTTGTCTATTTCCACATGTTTACCTCACTTAGGAGTACTGGTGTGGCACTGTAGGTTAATGCGCTGGACTGCAAGGTCAGCTTGAAACTCAAGGTATCTGGTTCAAGCTCACGAGCTGTGCCTTGGAAAGCCTATACAGTCACTATGAGTTGGAACTGACTAGAAGGCACTTAACAACATCTCACTTAGGAGTACTGGTGTAGAGTTGTAGGCTAAGCACTTGACTGCTAACCACAAGGTTGGCAGTACAAACCCACCAGCCACTCCTTGGAAACCCTATACAGGGTCACTGTGAGTCAGAACCCACTAGACGGCACTTAACAACAACTTCATTTAGGAGTCCTGGTGTAATGCTGTACGATAAGCACTTGACTGTGAAACACAAGGTTAGTGGTACAAACTCACCAGCTGCTCCTTGGAAACCCTATACCCTATACAGAGTCGCTATGGGTCAGACTTGACTTCACAGCACTTAACAGTAACAGCAACCTCATTTAACTATTACAACCACTTTGAGAGGCAGGTGTTGTTGTTAAGTGCCCTTGAGTTGGTGCCAACTCATAGCAACCCTGTATAAGGTTTCTGAGGAGCAGTTGGTGAATTTGAACTGCCGACCATGAGGTTCAAACAGACCTTGTGATCCAATTCTTCTCCTATAAAATGCCAATATTTTATAGATTAGGTAACTAAGGTTCAGAGATTTGGCAATGTTCCCAAGGTCATGTCACTAGCAAAAGGAATTGAAATTTAGGCTAGCTTTAAAGTCTATACTCTACAGGAGAGACTCCCAAAATGTAGGACCCTGGTACTGCAGCTTCCACCTAGCACCAAGGGTCCTTGACTCCTGGTAGCAGACCTATTATTTCTAACACTGGGAATAGTTTGCCACTTGCTACCCACAGGACCGGAGTCCTGGTGTGGTGCTGTGGGTTAATGCACCAGACTGCAAAGCCATTTGAACTACAAGGTTGATGGTTCAAGCTCACCAGCTGCTCCTCGGAAACCCTATGGGTCGGACGTGACTTGATGGCACTTAACAACAACAACAACCCACAGGACCAGAGCCCTAGTGTGGTACTGCAGGATAAGCATGGGACTGCTAAGAGCAAGGTTGGCAGTTCAAACGCACAAGCTGGTCATTATGGTCTAATGATTCAAATCTGTTCTTGAAATGATCTCTAAAGTCAGGTGGGATATGCTCAAAGTCATATTTTGGCTCTCGTGAACTTTT